CCTCCCTCTCTAAAAAAAAAAAAAAAAAAAAAATTTATATATATATAAAATATGTCTTTATTGATTTCAAAGAGGGAAGAAAGGAGAGGGAGAGAGAAACATCAATGATGAGAGAGTCATTGAGTGGCTGCCTCCGACTGGGGATGGAGCCCGCAAACCGGGCATGTGCCCTGACCAGGAATTGAATCCCGATTGCCCGGATCCTAGGTCAACGCTCAACCGCTGAGCCACGCCCAGCCAGGCTAAAAATATATTTTTTAAAAATGTTTTTTATTTTCCAATTTTTCTTTTCCTCTTAATACCTAATTTATTGTGAAATTTCTCATGTACTACTATGTTTCTTCCATTGCTAAGAATTGTTCCTAGGCTAGCAAATTAAAACTCCTTCCATGTAGCATGGTGCTAAGTTAAAGTGTTTATTTGTAAATGGCTTGTGTTTTAGCAAAGTAATTTTTTTTTATAACTAGAACATGTAGTTCAAACTATAGAATATTATGGAGATCCATCTGTTGCCCTCTTAGTGAACATTAAAAGCCAAATAGATGTTGATCTTCAATTATGAGATGAAAACTGCAGGAATGCTAAATTACCATGTTTGTCTTTAGCTCTTCAGGAGAAATAACTTAATAGTTTGCTTTCTTCAGAGACTATGATATCTATGATACACTTAGAAGATCACAGAATAGGAAATGTAAACTTTAATGAAGGGGTTATTTTGGCACCAACTCAATATCTGTTTATGTACAAATGAAAGTAGGAGATACATATTCATATATAGACCAATTATAAGACAACTTTGATAAAAATTATAAGCAAAAATTTTGGGATAAATGAGCCAATTATTCCTACAAAGTCATGGAGAAGAAAGCCCCATTAGCCCGGCCAGCATGGCTTAGCCGTTGAGCATCAACCTATGATCCAGGAGATCTCAGTTCAATTCCCAGTCAGGGCACTTGCCCGGGTTGTGGGCTCAACCCCCCAGTAGGGGGCATGCAGGAGGCAGCCGATCAATGACTCTCCCATCATTGATGTTTCTATCTATCTCTTTTCCTTCCTCTCTCTCTGAATCAATAAAGATTTTTTTTTTTAAAAGTCCCACTAAACAAAGTTATCTCATAATGAAGAAAAGACCCAAGTATATATTAAAATTTAAAAAGTAATTGTTAAGGGCTTTTGGTTCAGGGCAATAAGCAAAGTCCATGGACAATGAACCTATAGCCTGGTACATTAAAAGTGAATGTGCTAGCATAAGTATTTCAGAAGCCTAGAAATAAGAAGACTTAGACAGATTCCATGTAAAGTACTGGTAGCCATATCGGGTACTCTGGAAATTAATTCCACCATTCTTTCCACCTTCTTTTACTAAGACATTACTCACTTGTTGTTGAAGTATATATTCGAGATAGGATATCCTATAGAAAGTGATGAAACTGAGAAAAAAACTGATGCCATATGATAGTACACCCTAACTCCACAACTAAACATTTTTAACAAATCAAATTTTAAAATATTTAAGAAATATTTTACAAACCAAAGCAAAATATATCTAATAAAATACAAAGATTTAGGATCTATCATATTTTCTCTGCTCTCTTTTTTTCACTCTTAATTACATAAAATGAGAGCTTAGTTACCAAGATTCAGTTAATTTTTCTTATAAATCAAAACATCTACATTAACAATTTACCTGGCTCTTAGCTGCATTTCCAATGGCTCGAGTTCTCGATCCCAAAGATATACAGGCCCTAAAAGGGGAAAAACACAAAGTTTATTCCCATGGTGTTTTTATATCACTGTGCTATTATTCTGCTTTACCTTATATAAAAATAAATTAAAAGGATTAATATAATCATGTACTATTTTTAAAAGAGGTTATCTAAAATTAGAATTTTACATATTTTTAAACTTTCATAAGAAATGTGATAGTAGGTAAGAGTAAATGTTATAATTTTTTAAAATGTGCTATTGGTAGCAATACTATGTTGGTCCCCAAAATTGTTTTTCAAATTCTATTGGTCTATGACCTACTAATAAAATTAACTGTATTCAGTAAGGACAGGCTGCTTGGATCTAAATCCTGGCTCTACCACACGGCAACTAAATAACCTTGTGGAAATTACCTAACCATTATTTCCTCATTTTCCCCCAGAAGATAGTAATGGTAACACCTACTCATAGGGTTGTGAGGATTACATGAGTGAATATAGATAAATGCTTTGAACAATACAACTGCTGTTTTTATTGCTGCATTTATATGTAATTCTGCTTATAAAAGCAAGTATAGGGTAACATTATCATCAAAATACCATTTCATGTAATGATTCAAGAAAGTATTTCCATTATTTCCGTTTTAACTACAGGTAACTATTCATTTAATCAACAAATAGTTGCAGGCACTGTGTGTGTACTAGCTACAATCACTCTCTCTGGATAATTTATGGTCTGCTGAAAAAATCAGAATAAGATTACAAATGATAGTAGCAAAAGAGAAACTAATCACTTCTAGATAATAAGGTTTAGGAAAAGAAAGTAGTAGAGGTGATTTCTGAATGAAGACTTGAAAGAAGAGAAAGCATTTTAATATGTGTTTTGCTGATAAGGATATTTCTAGTATGTAGGTATATGTCTGTTCTCAATATGATACCCAGAGTAATCCTCTTAAAGACTAAGGCCATGAAACTCCTCTGCTTAAAACCCTCCAATGGTGTCTGTCTCACAAAGTAAAAGCTTAAGTTTCCCAACAGGAAAATAAAGCCCTTCAGGATCTGGTCCTTGGCTGTTTTATCCTACAACTTCAACCTAGGAACACTGGTCCTCTTGCTATTTCTAGAATAGAGAAAGCACACTTCTGCCTCAGGGCCTTTGTACCTGCTGTTCTCTCTTTCTGGAACACTTCTAAATATATCCATATGGCTTCTGCTCTCACTTCTTATGTTTCTGCTCAAATGTCAGCTTATCAGAGACTCCTTTACTGTCTTATATAACATCCCTACCCTTCCCCAACACATACATCTCCTACTGTTTATGCAATTTTATTTTTCTCCATATGTATCACCATCTGATATAATTTATTTACTGACTTATCACCATGCTGCGGTATGAACTCCATGAGGGTAGATAATGTTTGCCCACTGCCTTGATCTGCATTGACCAATATGGTAGCCACTAGCCACATGTGGTTAGTAGAATTTAAATTCTAAAAAGGAAAATTTCAGCCCTGGCTAGTGTGGCTCAGTTGGTGAAGCATCATCCCAAACACCAAGAAGTCTCCAGTTTGATTCCTGGTCAGGGCACATGCTCGGGTTGTGGCTTGAACCCCAGTAAGGGGCATGCAGGAGGCAGCTGATCCATGTTTCTCTCTCTCCCCCATCTCCTTTTCTTTTTAAAAATAAAAACATAAAAAAATAAAAATTTCAGTTCTTCAACATTAGTTACATTTGAAGCGCTCAATAGCCAACTTTCCAGTGTTTAACAGCCACATGTGGCCAGTGAGTACACACAAAACAGAATATACATAGAACAGGAAATACATTAGAATACAAAGCTCTACTGTACAGAACTGGCCTAGACCATTATCTGGTACGTAGTAAAGGTAGTTACTGAATGAATGGAAAGACGGCTCCTAAGGGTAATACTTATTTGGAGACTAGGAAAAGTAAGTTGGTTAGTTTCACAGGACATTTTAATAGTATCAGGGCCAGATTATAAGGGTATCAAATGACAGATTATGAATCTGAAATTTATTTCACTAGCTAATGGGAATTCATTAAAGGCTTCTGAATAATGGAGAGAACACTCCATGTTTATATATAATATAAAACTGAAGAGGAAAGGTCCTAGAACAGTGCTTATCAAGGGTTGAACAAGACACTGTTATATTGGGGAACAATGGATTTTCAGGGAAGTCAAGAAGTTCAACTTATTTAGACAATTCAACAGAAGTTTACTGAGTACCTACTGTACGTCTGGCACTCTGTTATTAGAGATATAACAGTGATGGAAAAGAGATGGTTTTGGTTCTCTTGGAACTTATAATGCTACAGACTCGCACAAATGAAATAAACTAGGTGCTACAAAAGAGGGTGCAAATAGTAGTATGAGAACAGATAACAGCAGGAATTAATCAAGAGGAGGAAGATCAGGAAAGGCTTATCTGAGGAAGTAACAAGATTTGAAGGAAGAGTCAATGATGAGAAGGAAGTAGGGGAGAGTTTGGTGAAGATCTTTTTGACTACAGTGTGAACTGATGGGAGGAGGGCTAGCAGTTACCAGTAATCTATAATAGGATGGTGGCAGCTGAGACAGGAGGAGAAGGAATTTAGAGATATTTAAAGGTAAAACTTGGTGACTGACTAGATCTTCACTGTCTAAAATGGTAGCTACCAGACACATGTGGCTATTAAGCACGTGAAATGGGGCTAGTCTGAATTGAGATGTACGTTTTATAAATGTTAAATGTATTCTGGACTTTGAAGATTTAATATTCAAATAGGATTGTGAAATATCTCACTAACTTAAAAATACCAATTTCATGTTGAAATAAGATTTTAGATATATTGAGTTAAATCAAATATATTAAAATTAATTTTACCAGTTTATCTCCTTAATGTAGCCACTAGAACATTTAAAATTATTTAAAAAAATAAAATTATGTATGTGCTCACATATTTTTATTGAACAGTGCTGGAATAGATAATAGAGGCGGCAATCAAGAATAATGTCTAGGGCCCTGGCTGGTGTGGCTCACCGGTTAGAGCATCAACCTCGAGCCCAAGGGTTGCAGGTTCCATTCCTGGTCAAGGGCACATACCTGGGTTGCAGGTTCATTCCCCACCCCGGTCAGGGGTGCGTGCAGTAGGCAAGTAATCGAAGTGTTCCTCTCACATGGATGTTTCTCTCTCTCTCTCTCTCCCCTCCTCCCTCCCTTTCTTCTTCCCTTCCACTCTCTCTGAAAAATGAATGCAAAAACATATCCTCAGGTGAGGATTAAAAAAAAAAAGAAGACTGTCTAGGTTTCAGGTTGCATAAGAAGGTAGACAAATAGTGGTGCCATTCAATCAGATAGAAAACACTGTAAGAGGGACAGGTTTAGGAAGGGACCATCCCAAGTTCTGTTTTGGACATGGTAAGACTGAGGAACCTCTGAGACATCCAAGATATATAATTAGAACTAAAATGTTGAAAGAAATGGACAGATGTAGAAGGGAATGGAAGTTACTGTTCTGTAATTGTGAGCCGATGCAAACAGGTAAATAAAGACAGAGCAGAAATCAGTGGTTCAGGTGACATCTTCACATCTCTTTCGAGTAACTGTGGGATTCGACATAGCCTGTGCCAGACTACGTATCTGCAGACCCAATATGGCAATCCACATGGATGACTACGTATCTGCAGGCCCAATATGGCAATCCACATGGATGACTGACCCTCCTTCCTAAAACTCATCAGAGAAATACGAATTTGCCATCTCTTAATCTACTTTATAACCTTTCTGTCTACTCCATTATTTGGACACACTCCTGAATACTGTTCTTTTTTATTTTTTTTAACTTTATTTTTATTGTTTAAACTACTAGAGATGTCCCCATTCCCCACCCCCACCCCTGACCTTACCCTACCCTCCCTATGGCCATCACCACACTGTGGTGTCTATGGGTTATTGCATATATGTTCTTTGGCTAATCCCTTCACCTTCTTTCACCCAGCCCCCTTCCTCCCCTCCCCTCTGACAGATGTCAGTCTGTTCCATGTATCCATGCCTGTTTCTAATTTTGTTCATCAGCTTATTTTGTACATTAGATTCCACATATAAGTGAGATTATATGGTATTTGTCTTTCACTGGCTGGCTTACCTCCTTAGCAAAATAATCTCCTGAGTACTTTTAATTTTTCAATACTTGACTATCATTGCTTGAGAGCACAGAAAATCTTATTCTTAGGTTGATTTCTTAAGAGTTTAACTTCTGTTGGAACATGAGAGCCAAATAAGATTGATTTAACTATCATTTATTAAGTGCTAGATTCTTTGAAATATGCTTCACACATACATCACTTCACAGAAAAAGCTAAACAGTTACAATTATCAGATATTCTCCTCAGAGTAGAAAAAGTTTTATAGGAAAGGATATTCCATTGTTTATCCAAATGTATAACATATAATCCATTTATATTATGCTTTTATGGATTATTTCAACTACTACATAGAAATTCCATTTTATGCCTTAAAAAAAAAAGGAGTGTTTACAATGCAGCTTAAATCTGTAATATTCAACCTAATGTTGCCACCGTATTTATTGGTCATCAGATTCTAGAGAATGCCACAGATCCCTAAACAAGCAAGCAGAACTTCTACATGTCCTATGTCACTTAGTAGAGGAGGGGCATAAAAATCAAATGACAGTAATGTTACTTTAAAAAAGTTATATATTTTCCCTTAAAATTTAAGATTAACTTTCTGTCTCTCTTATACAGCCTATTTTTATATGGCCAAGCATGATTAGGTTAGAGAAAACACATACTGTCAGCAGACTAAGAGACTTCTCCCTTAAGAAGTTAGCACTCTAAATTTGTTTGCTTCTTTGTCAGTCTCCAGCCAGTTTCAACTACGGTTGCCAGCATGTCCAAAAAGCAGGGTTTCTCAGCCTTGGCACTATTGATATTTTGGGCAAGACAATTCTTTGTTGGCAGAGTGGGGCTATCCTGTGCACTATAAGAATTTAAAAGCATCTCTGGCCAATACCTGCTG